TTTTTTTTTGCTTTCTTTGACTAATTTTTGTTGATGTTTAGGCAATTTCGCTGCTTATATATAGCCTTCATCAAATTTTTGCAGCATTTTCTTTCGTTTTTTCCTTGCACTGGTTTTATGAGATAAAACTGAATGTTGTTATTTATCAAATGCAATGATCACTGATCTTTTTAAATTCACTAAAAGCAGTACTGATTTTAAAATCGTTTTTGTTTTGTTGGTTTTATTAATCAGAAAATTTTTTTTCTTCAATATTGTTGGTAACTTGAATATTAAAAAAAAAAGCGATGAAGGGGATATGATACATTTTTTTTAAAATTTTTTTAACGATAGAAAAATTAATTTATTTTAAAAAAAAACTAAGTAAAAAAATTTTTTTTCAACTTTTTAGGTTTAATGCCAGTTAAAGTTTTTTATTTATGCTTCGTTCACGCTAATAATAATGTTTCTTCGTTGTTTTTTTTCTTTCTTTCGCTAGATAATTTGCACTAAATTTTGCTTTCTGTGATAGTGATTAAAAAATTTTAGGATTTAAAGATCTGTAGAGTTTAGCAAGCCTTAGTTGCATCTACTTTTAGTATGGTTTATTTTACATCTGAGAAAAAATTTTCTCTTTTACTTCATTTTCAATTGGCATTCTTCTGAAGCCGAAAAGAAGACTGTTTCTGACTAATTTCTTTTCCAACGAGTAGGAGAAAAAAGAGGAGGAAAGAGAGTGAAACATCAAAAAAAAATAATAATAATTATAATTATAATATAAAAGTAAAAGAGTAGATTTAAAGCTTTTGTGTTGAGCAGTCAAAATGGTGTTCTATTGTAATATTATTTTGTTGGCTGAAAAAAAAGGGAAGGATATGTCGCAATTTTTGGTTGTCATCGTCGTCGTCTTCTTTCCTTATTGCATATTTTTTTCCCTGTTTTCAATTTTGTTTTTTTTTTTTTGGCCTATTTGCAAAAAAAAATCTTAACTTTTTTTTTGTTATACTCTGTTTGCATTTGAAGCATTGATGTTGGTGCTGTGGAAACTGAAAACTACTTTATTTAGCATACTAAATGCCCGCAATATCGGTGTTTCCATGTACCAAACGAGTGTTCTTCTGGGTCTTTTGCACTACTTGTTACAAGCTTAAAAATATAATTATCAACTAGAAAACATGTCTTTATCGTTTGGAAGTCTTTTGTTTTTAAACTTGTAGTAATTGCAGTTATTTTTTACTTTGTTTTTGATTTTTTTTCTAACATTTACGTAACTTTTTTAATAACTGCAAACCAAAAAAAACTTTTTTTACCAACACCCATTTGTTTCACAGATGTTCTTCTGCTGTGACATTAATGAATCATTCGTGATGATTTATGATGCACATAGCATCAAAGTCCAGACTTTTTGATTAACATTTCCTATAAAAGTGTCTCCTTCCTGTGTTGACAGTTGAATATATGAAATAAAGACGAAAAAATCTTGTTTTTATCTTGCTTTTTGATAGATCAATTATTTGGAAAAAAAAATGCTACTGGCGTTAGTAACAGTGACATTAAGAGTGAGCGTATGTGAGACTTATAAATTGATTTAGAATTTGTAAACAGTTAATAAAATGGAATGATTAAACATTGTTATTTTTTTCTCGAACTTTGCGGAATATTATTTATCTTTAGTTATCAAGTCTTGTTTTTATTTTTGAATCTATGCGTATTTACGAATAGTTTTTCCAGCAACAGCAGCAGCAGCAGCAGTAAAAAAAAAGATCGAAATAAACCTAAAAATTTTGAAGTGAATAGCATCAACCGGATATGAGCTGGACAAAAAGGCAACATCGTCGTCGCTAATGCCTAAGACGATAGTTCAGTCTCCTAGAAGGCAAAACTCCTGCTGTACCAAAATATTTAAGCCACATGGCTTTATTATATTCTCGAGTTACGTATTTAACGTAACCGATAAATGTGAGTGTTTAGGTTAATAGCTTCGGTAATTACTTTTTGTTCTTCAAAAAAATTATGAATAATTGTTAATATTATTTTTACAAAATTAATTTAAAATTTTTCAGTTACAAATAACATTATAATTTATAGTTATCGTTTTTGCTTCAATCATTGTTGCATATTTTTAGCAGCGGTACCTGGAAGTTACAATGAGGATTTTTTCGCCGTGTATTGATCATTACGGAAAGATAAATTTAACAGTCAATGCCTACGAAATAAAGGTTAATTATTAGATTTCTTATTAAAGTTTCTCACACCTGCAGAATCAAAAAAAAAAAAAAAAAGCATTTTTTACTTTTAAGTTTTGAACATTAAGGCAGCTTAAAAGTTTCATTTACTAGAACTGTTCCAGTTGCTTGCTGCAAAATTAGACTTCTGGTGGTTATTATGTTGGTGATATCTGAAAATGAAACGAAGTAACAAAATTAAAATTTAGGCAAACGGGTTTTTCACAGTTTCGGGTATGATTAACTGTACAGGTCTCTTGATTTCGGGTATCATAACGCTATTCACAGTATTTGCAAATGCATTAACAATATTTGTTCTAATTCATCATCGGCCTTTGCAAAAATCAGTTTCCAATTTATACATACTGAGCCTAAGTATTGCTGATGGCTTCCTTGGTTTATTCGTGATGCCAATTATGTCTGTTTATTATTTTGTGCAAAGGTAAAGTTCTCAAAATACTCAAATTTTTTAGAAAATTCTTATTATAATTTCTTTTTGCTGCCAAAAATAGATGTTATTACAATAATTCTATAATTATAAGAAACAGTTATTTTTTTAAGTAAAGTTAATAAATAAAGTAACTTTAGCTTTTTATTTTAATTTGCAGCAAAGTAACGAAAATGTTTCAGCTTGAGAGAATTTTTCGGACCTTTTTGGTTGTGCCATTTATGGCAAATTGCTGATATAGCTGTGTCAACTATTTCACTTTATTCTATATGTGCTATCGCGCTAGACAGATTCTGGAATCTGGTAAGCCACTGGTTTTTGCAACTTTTAACTGGTATATTAATAAGTAAATTCCAAGCGAAAGCTAAGGGTAAAATAATCACCAGAAAAAAAGAAGGATAAATTTTTTACTCTAGCTGAATAATCAGAAGTTATGACTAATTGAGCACATGTTTTAGGAGAAACCGTTACGAGTTTTTAAGCGTAGTCGACGAATAGCTCAACGCCTTATTATTGCCATTTGGATTATTCCGTTGATTATCTGGACGGGTGTTTATTATTTTTTCAATCTTGAAACTTACGCTGTAGAAACCGCTAATAGTCGGCCAACACGTGTAACCGGTAGATGTTACACAAAATGGTCGCATAATTATGTGCCAATTTTAATTGCAGGACCTGTGGTGTATGTACCAGTTATCATTCTTGTAGGTTTTCCCTGTATCTGTTGTTGCTAAAACCAACTTTTGAGTCAGATCGGTATAGCCTATCAGTCAGTCTAACTTACTGTTGACCAATTTTTGCAAAATTATCAAAAATGTTTATGACAAAAAGCAAATCTTGTCTATTGTTTTTTTTTCACTGTTTAATGGCGGAAGACCCAAAAAAGCGGTGTCTGAAACCAACAAACAGATTATGTGATTAGTTATTACTTTTATAAAAAGAGATTTTTAGAAAATATAAATCCTCTGAATCCGTAAACTTGCTTGTCGATTATGATTGCTCAG